ATACACAAGGGGAATCTGGAAATTTCCCTGCTGAAAGAATTCTTCCCTGCATACTTCTGCAAGTTTAAGATTCATTTGAGCTCACAAGTTTCCTTTTTAAAATGGCTGGTACCCCAGGAATGTATTCTTGCTTTAAGTAGATTGCTTTCACCCAGCCAGACTCCTAAAACCTTTTTTTTTTAAAAAAAATATGTTTATTGATTTCAGAGAGGAAGAAAGAGGGAGAGAGAGCGAGAGAAACATCAATGATGAGAGAGAATCATTGATTGGCTGCCTCCTGCACACTCCCCACTGGGGATCGAACCCACAACCCAGGCATGTGCCCTCGACTGGAATCGAACCTGGGACCCTTTAGTCCGCAGGCCGAAGTTCTATCCACTGAGCTAAACCAGGTAGGGCTCCTAAAACCTTTTAAGAGAGCAGCTGCACTGAGAGAATGTGAATTCTGGTTGAGCTGCAGAAATAGGAAATGGTGAATTATGTTGCACTTTGAGAGAGGGGAGTGGGGGATTTTGGATCTTCAGAAGGTCACTTAAGGTACCACCCTATATGTGGGGGGTAAGTGAGGAAAAGAGAAGGGGCCATCTCTTGTATTTGCTCAACCTCTGCTTTCTCCATTGGGCTTCCTCCCTTCTCCCACTGCCCTTTGGCTGGGCCTTTGCCCACTAATCATTTAGGTTTCAGTTTAACCATCACCTCCTTCCCAGACTTGCCCAAGGAGAGTTAGAAGCTCCATCCTTTTGTCTATCACATTTGTTTATATACATATTTGACTCTGATCTGTTTATAGTTATATTTCTCTCACAGACTATAGATTCCTTGAAGGCAGGGGTCATATTCATTTATTATTTAACATAGTACATAATAGGATTCAATAACGTCATAAATTATAGGCACATATCACTTTAAAGACCACTGCTGTAAATTTTTACAGCAACTTATTGAATTTGATGAGAGAAAGGTCATCTCAGACTAGGCCTCTGTTGGGGACACTGTGCACTGGTGTCTATATCTTGGGAGTATAGAACTGAGAACTGAGACCTGTGTACTAGGCATCAAACAGCCAATTTCATTTTTATAGATGGCTGATCTCATCCTTTACATTTGTTCTATATTTTCTTGTCAGTGATAGTAACCTTACCTTCACATTGGAGTACTTATGTTGAGCCCATACAGTAGGTCCTTGGGTTATTTCAGAGGTCCATTTCTACAGCTCGATGTAATGTGATTTTTGCTATAATTCAGAATCCACCTACATAAGCACCTAGGTCACTCACATGGAGCACATATACAGCAGTAATGAAGTGAAACAGTAAAAAAATAAAAAAAATATAACAATTCCTGACCTTTACTTGTGGTAAATAAATAATATTAAAAAAATAAAGCACATATGTACATATGTCAAAATGATGGAACTTTTTTTTTTTAATAAATAAATGGGAGATGGTGACGTAACCACAAAACGATGTATGTCGAGTCGGACATAACCCAAGGGCTGTCTGTTTACTGACTGCCTAAGGGAAATATGCCCCACTTAAAAATGACTATGTCAGCCCTAACTGGTTTGGCTCAGTGGATAGAGCATTGGCCTGCGGACTGAAGGGTCCCGGGTTCGATTCCAGTCAAGGGCATGTACCTTGGTTGCGGACACACTTCCCAGTAGGAGGTGTGCAGGAGGCAGCTGATCAATGTTTCTCTCTCATTGATTTGTCTAACTCTCTTTCCCTTTCCCTTTCTCTCTCTCTAAACTTCCTCTCTAAAAAATTAATAAAGTATATTTTTTAAAAAAATGATTATGTCAGTCTGTAGTTGTTGGTGCCAGTTCAACACCAGATTGGAGTTGCGGTGAAAAGAAGGAAACTTTACTCAGGACAAAGTGCTGGGAAACAGCACAGCTGTAGAACAGCTCTGGGGCCAGGTCTCTCTCCAGCAGATCTGCACTGCTCCTGGATTATTTGCTCTGTTCTGCTCAGGGCAGGTCTGTTTTGTGCAGCACTGCAGAGTCATCTATGGGTGTTTTTCTTTTTTAAATTGATTTGAGAGAAAGAGACAGATTGTTGTTACCCTTATTTATATATTCACTAGAGGCCCAGTGCACAAAAATTTGTGCACTCGGGGAGTCCCTCAGCCCGGCCTGTACCCTCTTGCAGTCTGGGACCCCTCAGGGGATGTCCACTGGGGGATCAGGCCTAAGCTGGCAGGCAGACATCCCTCTGGCAGCCCTGGAGCCCTCGGGGAGCAGGCCTAAGCTGTAGTCGGACCTCCTTAGTGCTGCTGAGGAGGCAGGAGAGGCTCCCGTCACCACTGCTGTGCTGGCAGCCATCAGCCTGGCTTGTGGCTGAGCAGAGCTTCCCCTGTGGAAGTGCACTGACCACCAGGGGTCAGCTCCTGCATTGAGCATCTGTTCCCTGGTGGTCAATGTGTGTCTAGTGACCAGTCATTCCCAGTCGTTCTGCTGGTAATTTGCATATTACCCTTTTATTATATAGGATTAGTTGATTCTTATATGTGCCCTGATGGGGGAGGAGATTCTATTATACTGATGCTCTAATCAACTGAGCTAGTAAGCCCCGCCACATGTGTGGGTGTCTCAGCTCAGTAAGTCTTCAGTGGAAAGGGAAAGTATGCTCTCCCAGCCATAGGGGAGAAGTTTATATAAACAGGAGTCCCCTCCCTGGTCCCTGATTGGCCTGCCTCATGCAAATGAAGACTCCAAATCCTCACAGTTTGATTCGTCCAAAAGGCACTGTCCTGATTGGTCAGAATAGAGCCACTCTAATTGGTTAGAACTTCACAGTTTTGACTGGATGGGGAAATCCTCAATCCTATTGTTTGAAATAGGATGCCAGGAATTCCTTTATAGGCTCACTCAGGTAGCAGAAATACAGCACAGGTAGGCAGTTCAGCATAGAGGCAGGTAGTTCAGTGCAGGCTACTCCTTGAAGTGCAGTCTGTGCCAGAGGCCCCTGTGCAGAAATGGCTACTAGGGTCTGTTTTTAAAAATTTGAGCCCAGTTAGCCACCAGGAGCCCTTATTAGTTAGGTGTCTTTTTTTCTTTTCTTTTCTTTCAGGATTCACAATTAAGACCACTAAAAAAATAAGAAATCTTTAGAGTATGGTAAGGGATATAAGCAAAATATAGTTGTATGAAAATTATAATTTCAATTATACAAAACTACATAAACTTCTGGACAACACTATAAGTGAATATGCAAAAATGAAGTGATTTTTTGTAAAATGTCTTCAATGTTGCATGACTCAATAATGATAAAATTTATGATGCTGGGGGGGGGGGGTCAGGTAATCTGTCAAATGTAATATTCTCTTTCTTCCAATGGCACTAAGAAACCATGTGTGAGTTTAAATTCCCCAAAATAAAGAGTTCAAGAAATTGAAGATCCTTTTTTCAAAAACTAATTTCTCATCATGATTCATTAAGGATGTTATTTCCCAAATATATTTAATCTCTTCTTCAATCGAATACATCCCATGCCTTAATGTGACGAGTTACAGATGTTTATTTCCTGCTGTGTGAAGTAATGATCTCGTTCACATTAATTTTTTAGCTTTCTTTCATTTCCTGGTTCTTCAGAGTTCAAGAACTCGACCTTGCTAACTTGTACTGCTCTTAAGTTTTAGCATTCCTCATAGCCTTTATATTTTTTAAAATCCGTACTTTAAGAAGGTAGTCATGTTTTGCAGCCTCCAAAACTAATCTTTTTCTCAAATTTGTTTCCTGTGGGTTTTTTTTTTCTTGAGATCGGATCGGTATACTCTCGGGCCCACCCAAGGAAGGCGAGAACAGGCTAGTCACTGACTAGCCGCTAGTCCGAGAGAGTTTACTGTGTGTGAGAGAGTAACAGTGGTTACTACCCCTCGGGTTCACGGCAGTGGGACCCAAAGGTTCCCCGAAACAAGCGCCCAGACAGCTGAAGACCGGAGGAACCCGCCAGGTGACCGCAGCCCTCCCACTGACCTGC